CCTCGGTGCCCCGGCAAAAGTCCTACCACTTGATTCCCTTCCGGCCCATGTGACAGCAAAAGGCAAGGGGGATAGTCTTATAAGACCATCAACCCCTCAAGCCCTTTTTGTCACGCTCTGCTCCTCCACTACATGTTGTTGGCCTCAATCCCTGCACCTGCTGCATACCAGTCCGATGCCATAACTTATAGGGCTACGCCCAAGCCTAGTATCAGCAGGCTCGGCTCTCCTAATAAAGAGATAGCACCCGGCCTTTGGGGCCAAGGAACTGCCGCATGCCACTTCCCGGCCCGTACTTCGCACAAAAGGCCACCGAAAAATCCGCGCCGGCCTACCCAAACCGTGTCGTAGCCGCCCCCGCGCACCATCCTATGCCGCCCCATTTACCGCACGAGGTCGCGCTGTCACTGTCGATGCCGTCGTCCTCGCATGCGCGCTCGCCTCGGTCAAACGTACCAATCAAAGGAAAATATCCTTAATTCCTACTTAATCAAGAATAAATAAAAACAAAGTTAACCCGACTGGCATCCGCGCCGGCTTTATAATCAACGACAAGGAAAGAAATCCCGCGCGCCTTAAACCCTGTGCGCCCACGCACTCTCTACTTCTAGACCTCATGACCAACCTATAGTCACCACATTGCCGCAAGTCGCGCGGCCTTCTCAACAATTCCAGGTCAAACTTGTTTCCTGTCACTTGCAAAAACCAGGGCGGATACCCTTGTAAGGGTATTCGCGCTGACATCGTGTCTGTGGACGACAACGGAAAAGAGGCAAACCACCAGAGAGCGTCAAGTAACAGTTAAACCATAACGCAGGCGGCAACGAAGCATCAAAAACTCAGGCGGCAAACATTTCGTTCAACACGTCTGTCACATCACGCCATTGGAAGACCTCGAAGTTCGGATCCCGGCGAACTTCGAACGCGAAGACCTTTAATAACCTCCAACCTGCAACACGAACAATCTTTATAAGGGGACACACGTCATGCAGCCGGACGACAACCACATTGGAATTTTCGAAGCACGGATGCCGGAGGGATTTGAACATGGGCATTTCCCGCAGGAATCAGCAGGCGGTAATGTTCGAAGTTTGCGCTGGATGGGGACTGTCCCCCGCTTAACACTCGAAAATCGGACAGGCCAGCACGCTAAGTTCGCCGGGATCCGGAGTAGAAGAGGGTGCGAGAGAGAGAGAAAGAGGCAGCCCATGCAGCCTGCGTTCCAGAACCGTGCACGAGCAAACACACTCCGCAACTGCATATGAGCAAAACGAGAAGTCGGAGTCGGACTCTCCCTGTTGCCGGGTGGTTCGTGCGAACCATCGGCACCACGAAGACCAAAGACAAGCCGACGCACATCCCGAAACGTGAAGTTCGCCGTGATCCAAACTTCAGGACAATGCGACAGGCAGAGACGGCGTCAGAGACACACGATGCGTAAGTCTGTGGTTGTAAAACTCAGCCTGGAACCGGGAAGGAGACACAGACATGAAAATCTGGTTAAACTCAACAAGGAACCGCAGCCAAGTGTTCAATCAAAAAAATTCTCACACCCTAGCCAATTACCATCAACAACAAACTTCCATAACCACACTACCCTAAAGTATCACTAAAGCACGAACATACCCTAATTTAAAGGTAGTGATTCTAGTGAAGTATTAGAACAAGTCTCAAGTATTAGAACAAGTTTCACATATCCACCAGTTCTACAATCTTAACTAGCTAAGCGCCCGCAGTGTGGGCGGTGCGGGCCATGCCCGCAAAGATAAGAAATGTTGTAGGCAAACTGACACGGACCACTCGCATAAACCGAAAAAAAAAAAAAAAAAAAAAAAAAAAAAAAAAAAAGAATCACAGGCTAATACAAAATATCATAAAACTGGCTACCAAGTTTGAGTTTCTATTGACAAATAGCTTCGCGCTCGTGGTGTAGGCGGTGCGGGCTACGCCCACAACCAAAACCACCAAAACGGTAAAGAAAGTATCATAGGGTAGAGTGTCGTAGAGTATCGTAGAGTCTCACAAAGTAGAGTAAGGTAGAGTGGAGTAAAGTAGAGTGTTGTGGAATACAGTGTTGTACAGTAGTGTTGCAGAGAGTGTTGTCGAGTAGAGTAGAGTAGAGTAGAGTAGAGTAAAGTAGAGTAGAGTAGAGTAGAGTAAAGTAGAGTAGAATGAAGAAGAATAGAGTACAGTAGAGTAGAGTAAAGTGTCTGCGAGTAGAGTGTCATAGAGTAGAGTACATTGACGTAAAGTACAAAAGACTAGATTGTCGTAGAGTAGAGTAGAGTGTCGTAAAGTAAAGTACAGTAGAGTAGAGTATCATAGAGTAAAGTGTCATAGAGTAAAGTGTCATGAAGTATCGTAGAGTAGAGTAAAGTAGGGTACAATAGAGTAAAGAACAATGTCATGGAGCAGAGTAGAGTGCCCTTGAGTGTCGTAAAGCAGAATAGAGTGTCGCAGAGTAGAGTGGAGTGTCATAAATTGTCGTAGAGTATAATATCGTAGAGTAGAGTATTGTCTCGTATAGTAGAGTAGAGTAGAGTGTCGTAGCGTGTCCTAGAGTAGAGTAAAGTTTCGTAGAGTAGAGTATAGTGTCGTAGAGTAGAGTAGAGTAAAGTAAAGTATCGTAAAGTGTCGTAGAGTGTTGTAGATAAGACAAGAGTGTCATAGAGTAGAGTAGAGTAAAGTAAAGTAGAGTAGAGTAGAGTAAAGTAAAGTAGAGTAGAGTAGAGTACAGTGTCGTTGAGTAGAGTACAATAGGGTGTTGTAAAATAGAGTGTTTTAGAGTGTCGTAGAGTAGAATAGAGTGTCGTAGAGTATCGTAGAGTGTCGTAGAGTAGAGTAGAGTAGAGTAGAGTAGAGTAGAGTAGAGTGGAGTAGAGTAGAGTAGAGTAGAGTAGAGTAGAGTGGGTAGAGTAGAGTAGAGTAAAGTATCGTAAAGTAGAATAGAGTGTCGTACAGTACAGTGGAGTAGAGTGTCGTAAAGTGTCGTAGAGTAAAGTATAGTAGCGTAGAGTGTCGTAGAGTAGAGTAGAGTAGATTAGATTAGAGTAGAGTAGAGTAGAGTAGAGTAGAGTAGAGTAGAGTAGAGTAGAGTAGAGTAGAGTAGAGTAGAGTAGAGTAGAGTAGAGTAGGATAGAGAAGAGTAGAGTATCATAGAGTAGAGTAGAGTGTTATAGAGTAGAGTAGAGTGTCATAGAGTAGAGTAGAGTGTCAAAGAGTATCGTAGAGTGTCATAGAGTGTCGTAGAGTAGAGTACAGTAGAGTACAGCAGAGTGTCGTAGAGGAGAGTACAGCGCCATACAGTAGAGTATCGTAGAGTAGATTGTGATAGATTAAATTGTTGTAGAGTAAAGTGGAGTAGAGCAAAGAAGAATATAGTAGAGTATAGTAGAGTAGAGTAGAGTAGAGTAGAGTAGAGTGTTGTCAAGTAAATTAGAATAGAGTGTCGTAGAGGAGAGTAAAGTATCATAGGGTGAAGTAGATTGTCGTATAGTAGAGTAGAGTAAAGTAGAGTAGAGTAGAGTAGAGTAGAGTAGAGTAGAGTAGAGTAGAGTAGAGTAGAGTAGAGTAGAGTAGAGTAGAGTAGAGTAGAGTAGAGTACTGTAGAGTGGAGCAGAGTAGAGTAGAGTAGAGTAGAGTAGAGTAGAGTAGAGTAGAGTAGAGTAGAGTAGAGTAGAGTAGAGTAGAGTAGAATAGAGTAGAGTAGTGTAGAGTAGTGTAGAGTAGAGTAGTGTAGAGTAGAGTGCAGTGTCACGAAGTAGAGTAAGGTACAATACAGTGTCATAGAGTAGAGTAGAATAGAGTGTCGTAGAGTGTCATACATTACAGTAGAGTGTCACAAAGTTCAGTAGAGTGGCGTAGAGTAGAGTCGCAAAGAGTGTCGTAAAGTAGAGTATGGTAGATTGTGGTAGATTGTGGTAGAGTAGAGTAGAGTAGAGTGTCGTAGAGTGTAGTGTCGTAGAGTGTAGTGTCATAGAGCGTTGTAGAGTAGAGTAGAGTGTCGTAGAGTGTCGAAGAGTAAAGTAGAGTCGAGTGTCGTAGAGTACAGTAGAGTGTCCGAGAGTATCATAGAGTAGAGTAGAGTGTCGCCGAGTAGAGTACATAGAGTGTCGCAGAAGAGAGCAGATTGTCGTTGAGAAGAGTAGAGCATCGTAGAGTAGATTGTCGTAGCGTAGAGTAGAGTAGAGTAGAGTAGAAACTGTAGAGTAGAGCAGAATAGAGTAGAGGGTCACAAAATAGAGTAAAGTAGAGTAGAGTGTCGTACAATAGAATAGAGTAGAGTGTCATAGAGAAGAGTTGAGTGTCGCAGAGTAGATTAGAGTGTCGTAGAGTGTTGTAGAGTAGAGTGCCGTAGAGTAAAGTAGACAGTTGTAAAGTAGAGTGATGTGGCTGCCTGCGATTACGTACATATATGGTTGAGAGGGGCCCCACTGTGACTGTGAGAATTGATCGTCCTATATAAATAAGCCTTATGTATATATTTATATGTGCCTTGGGCATGCGTGCAGCTTGTTGTGATCGTGCGCAAGGGTTGGCCAGATTATGGCTTGAGAGAAAAAAAAAGATCCCATTTTTTCCTTTGTTTTTTAAAGATTTTTATGGTCGGACGTTGGTCCTGGGCTGGGATTCAAGGTCCTTGTCCAGGACATCCCAAACCCTAGATTCTGCAGGGAAGGAATCTTCCCCCGTGCAGAGCCTATTTGCCTTGCTTGCCGAGACGCTCAGACCAAAGGCCGGAGGTCTCGCGGCGGCTGCACGACTATTCCTTTAGCCGTGCAATGTCGTGAAGGATTAGACCCTCACGACACTTTGAGTCTGACACTTGAGTGTCGTAAGCGGTACTCGGATCCACGAGGGACCGCTTGATTATGGATACTACATAGTACGCCATCATTGCGACTGCTTGCGCACGTTTGCATCGCGAGTCGATATGAGATAGCCCTGCGTCCGCGCAGTTTTATACTAAGCCTCGCACGCGACGCTTATCCGGTTTTCGTGGCGGGAAGTTATGGGATGGCTACCAAGGGGCTAGGAGCGTTGTCGTGTTGTTCGTGTTGTGTCGTTTTGTATGGGTGCGTGTGTGTGTTTTATTTTTGTGTTTGTTAGAGTGGTGTGCGCGTGGTGTGCGGGATGCGTCCTAGTCGACCGACGACGGGCCGCGTTTGGGACTTCAGCCCCCCAAGATGTCGGTTTGCGTGCGGGTCCGATAGGCGTATTACCGCGCATACCCCCTATGCTACAACGAACGAGAAACGCCCTCAGCTGGTCCACCTCTGCAATTGCAACCGAGTAGCTTTCGTACTGTGGACTGGTAGCTCGGTGGGGATACGCCCACCGAAGGGAGGTGACAGCTCCCGTAAGGTGGAGGTAAGTTGTGCCTCGCGTAGGCCATATCTTGTCGTAGGGGCTCGCGAGAGGGGGGGGATCTGGGTTCCGGTGAAGCTACACAATTGCAGCGGGAGGAGAGCGAAGGTCAATTTGACGATAGTGAAGATGAGGCGCCGCGACTGCCGTTTTCGCCGTTGAGCAGAAGAGACCGGTTCATGCTGTCCATACCTGGGGTCCGGCAAGAGACCCCGGTTCGACAAGAGGTCGCAACACACCTCGGAAAAGAGGCAGTCCAATGTGGGCTGGACTTGGAGCCTACCGAGGGCCATGGCACGGACGACGAGGCTGTGGGCGGGGAGGGAACGCAGGGCACTCCCCAAAAAAGAAGGGGAGATTGTCAAGAGGTCTTGGTCGGCTCTTCGAAGAAACAGAAGACCAAGACCCCGAACACTACGGGGGAGAAAAGGAAGGGAAGGGGGGTGGAAGAGGACCGCCCGGGTAGCAAACGTCCGGCTTCGAAACAGAAGCAGCCTGCGTCGGGACCTTCCACGCCACGGCCTGCCATCGACGTGGATGTCGGGTACTTCCTGGAGTACAAAGACGGCGTCAGGACAAGGCGGGAGTATGAGATTAGCCCAGCTGAGGTCGTCGACCTCGGGGAATGGGAGGATCTGTACAACCAGCGGTCCCTGGATCCCGTCCTGGTTGAGGAGATCAAAGAAGCGATGCGGTTGGCGTTCGAAAATAAAGAACAGACGTACGAGTTGCCGACCCTCAAGCTCGCACCACTGGGGCTTCAAAAACCAACTCCCGGGACCAGGGCACAACGTCTGAACCCGGAGGAGTGGAAGGACGAGCTGGCGGGAGAATACTACTACTACGCGGTGTGTGGGCAACATAACGCGGCTGCAGCCCGATCGCTGCTCGGCAGCGAGGTGGCCAAGAGGTATAATTTCGAGCGATGGCTGACAAGAATGGTGTACTTTTCGGACGATGACGTCGAAGGGTATTTTCTTGTTAGTTCACAAGACAACAAGAAGGACCTTAAGGCGCCTCCCAGACAGTCGAAACTGTCTATGAAAGACATTCGGTGGCAGTGGAAGCATGACAGCTGCCCGAGAGCTGTGATGGGGAATCCTAGCGGGAAACAAGATCAGGTCCGGGATTGGCGTAAGTTCTGTACAACGGCGTTCCATAAGGCGCCGCACAACAGCTTGTAGATTCTCGCGGATCAAAAGGAAGAGGAGGCCATTAAGAAGCAAAATGCTGTCCTGCGTTCTTATTTCCCTCTCACGATGGCCGGAGAGAATGTCTGGAAACTGGCCGTGAAATTTTTTGAAAAGTGGGAAACGAGTAGATTGCTGAGCCACGACGGAGCAAAGTGGATCATGAAGAAGAAGAAGGTAAAAAACGTCAAGCCTGGGGTCGCCTACGTCGACAACGACAAGTTGGGCAGAAAGGAGGTGGTGTACAACGTCCCCGTGGAGCCGCGTACTAAGAAAGGCAAAAAGGAGAAAGAGGAGGGTGATTGGTTCGTGCAAGTGCCGGACCCGGACGTGCATTGCTGGAAAGCGATGGAATCACTCACCGATAACGAGAAGTGTCGCGTTCTGAAGAAGGTACTTGCTTGTGAGGTCGTTTGGGTCCAGGCCAGCTCCCCGTCGTTGGCGAAGTTGGGGAAGCTCAGCGTGCAGGACATGGTGCAGTTGGTGAAGTGCGACCGCGTGCTGGTCCAGTTGTGGAATTACTACCAATTCAAACACGAGAAGAGGCCGGACGCGGATTGGATCCAAAAGTACCCTTTCCTGAAATCGAGGTCCGCCGTGTTCAAGAAGTTTGAAGGTCAGGGATTGGATGGCGATTTGTGGGATAATAGCAGGAAACACATTTTCGACTCGGCGCTGTTCAAGGACTGACTGCCATACATGGGTTGCGACCAGGAGAACTCGATTGACGTGACGAAGAAGTCGGCGGGCCACAAGAAGTTGTTTGTCGACTCGAGAAACAAGGTTCTTTCCGTGTTGAATGGGAGCAGACTGAAGAGCCGGGAAATCGCACTTGCCGAAGTCATTGTTCACATCAAATGGAAAGACACAGGGGACGTGACATCCATCGTGCTGTTCGGTAACGACCCTTTGGAGGTGGAAGTCAGGGGCGTAGAGCTGAAGGAAGCAGTGAGTGCTACAAAGAGCTACACGTTCGTCCTCAATCTGTGCAAGCCGGTTGACCTCAAACTGTGGAAACCCCAAGCGTGAAAGACTTTGAATTCCTATCTTCAGACGTGGTGTCCGTCGCATTGGACTCTCGTTGTTTTCGTGTCGCGGCAGCACAACCTATCGTTTCTCGCTAGCATGCACCATCTTTCTTTCGTTAAGCTGTTGGAAGGGAAGTGGGTGCGGAGAAGTCAGCAAAAAAAAAGCGTCCCCGTTGGGAACAATTTGTACATGGAGGACGACCGCATGTACATCCTCTTCAAGGGTCACGATCTGCGCGTCAACACGTCCGTGGTGTACGAGGGAAAGTTGCCCAAGGGTGCCGCTGCTGCGGTGCGGTTGCCTCAGAGGGTCACCCAGACGGATGTGTCCGAGATTCCCTTCATTCCGTGCGACTGGTCGCTGGTGGCGCCAGAACGACAGGGCAGTGTCTACGGGGATATGGAACGTAATCCGACACATTTCGTCGGTCTTCTGGATTTCCTTGGCAAGAAGGGAGAGGGTGTCGTGTTCCTTAGGAAACCACACGCGCGAAGCGTCTGGGATCTTCTGAAGGCTGGCCGGCACGTTGTCGCGATGGAAGGGAACTCCGACCTCTTGCAATTCACGATGCAGGTGGTGAAAAGCGAAGTCAATTCGGGCGAGCACAATTGTGAATTCATGGTCATGAAGCCGACACGGGATCGGGTGTGGAGCAACAAGATGGACATGTGGTTCAAGTTGAGCGAGAGGAAGAGGAGGAAGATATACGATTTCTTGTTCCTTCAAATGCGGCCGCGGAAGGACACTGACGCCGAGTATGTCCGCCGCAAGGACCACATGTTGACACCGCTCGACAACTACCACTTCGCCTCCCGCATGAACGCAAAGACGTTTCTCGAAAGACTGCAGTCGCTGCACTTCGTGGAGTCCGAGGAGCAGTTGAAGTTAGTCAGTTACGCTTCCTTGATCTCCATTGATGACGAGGAAGCCACAGGTGTGGAGTTCCTCGCCAACGCAAAGGAGGAGGAGAGCGACACCGAGAGCCTTGACCTGCAGTACGACCCACCTCCGCCGGACCACGCCCGAGGGTCCTCGTCGGCCGGTCCGTCACCAAGCGCTGCAGCCCTCGTGTCACCGACGGCCAAACCGGCGCCGGGCACCACGGCGATGAAGTTGCTGGAGAGACTTAGAGCTCTGGCCGTCCCCCCGCCTGATTTGCGTCCCGGGTCCGACATCCCCCCCGATCATCTGTCTTGGATGGATGACCACACCCACTTCCTGTTTGAGCCACAACGTCATTCGCCCGAGGTGGACTGGTGGGTCATGGCCGTCGCAATCCCGGGCACGGGATGGGTGTCATTCCCGCACGAGTCGAAGTCCAACTTCCTGCACCTCGCTAGGATTTCGGCCGAAAATGACACATTTGCAGCCGGCGACCTGTCCGTCATTCCCGCAGCCGGTCGACTGTTCAACGAGCTTCAAGACAAGTGCTGGTTGGAATTGACGAAGGACTAGTACGACCTCGACACGAGCCCGTCGAAGGGCATGGTGGACTGGAAAGTGCCTCCTCCAAGTGGGCCGGACGACAGTTCTGGGGGGGGGGTCAACTGGAGGTGGAGGGGACAGGGGTGGTGGTGCGGGGGGTGGCGAAGGAATCCCGCCTGGTGGGGAGGGACAGTCTCACGGCCACAACACGACACCGGGAGGCAGCGGCGGGGTGGCAGGTTTCGCCGTCGACCGGCCTCCATCGACAGGCACCTGGCCGGAGCGTACGACACAGTCCGCCGACCTCCCGACTTCATCTGTGGCCCTGTGGGCTCAGCGAGGGAGACGTTGGCAGCCTTGGTTGCTCTCGGCAGCCGCTCCGGCGGAAAGTTGAAGTCTGCCGGGATCTGAACTACGTCGGGTGAGGAGCCGCCAGAGCGGTCCGGACTGCGAAGCCGCTCGGGGTCGGGGGAGCCGAACCAGGATCCCGAAATTGGCAGCGTTGCGGCGCGGGACGGAAAGGTGTCGCCTGAGCGGGAGCGACGACCGCAAGAATTGCAGCGAGAGGCGGCAAGTGCAGGGTCCGGCGACACGGAGACGACAAAGTCCGCCGAGATCCGAACTTCTTTGGGCGGGGGGTGTCGGCCAGGGATTGTCGTGCCGCCGAGAGGGGCAGCATGCACGGAGACGGAAGGGCGGTCCTCGGGGTTCAACACGGGTACCGCGGAAGGGGATGAGTTTCGTGGAAAGGAAGTAGGGGAGGAAATGGAGGAAGGGAAGGAAGCGCAAGAAGGGGAGGAAGAAGGGGAAGAAGAGGAGGAAGGGGAGGAAGCGGGAGAAACGGAGCTACTAAAATTTCTTAAAGGAAGGGAGGGTGACGGATCTGGAGACGACGAAGTGGAGCACAGTGAGGACGATGCCGGATCTGGAGAGTCGTCTGACGAGTTCGGACAACTGTACGGAGAGCATCACGAGGATAATGTCGACGACGATGCCACGACAATGGAGATGGAAACACAAGTGGTTAGCAGCCTTTCCGCAGAGCCTGAAGATTATGTGGTCCGACCACTGACGTCTGCTGTCGACTTGCAAAACCAGTTCGGCGAGGCTTCCGTTGCTGTTAGCCCATCTAAAACAAGTCGTCGTATAAGCATCGACGAAGTTATCGACGGTATCCTCGGCGACCACCACGTGTCCGCCCATCCGTCCACAACGCCTGACGTCGACGACGCTGGCAACGTCGCATCTTCCATGGCAGCTGCCCTCGCTTCGTCGCCGCCGAAGTTTCTGGTACTGCCGTCCACCCTTGCCGCTGGAGGGGAAGGCCAGGTCAGGGGACGACAACATGTCACGTCCCCGAAAAAATCCAGGGTCGGCAGTCAAGCTCTCGACGTGCTCGCTTTGCCCGTGCCAAATTCCCCGTCGAAGGAGCGGAGAGAGAAACAGACTGGTAAGCCGTGAAGAACGCCACACTGCCTGCGCGTCCTGGATTACGAAAATGAGAGAACGGATTCCGTCGTAGTCCGGATGTCGGCGGACTACAGTCCGCACCATGCACTCGACGACTGTCCACACTGTCTGCCGATACGGGAAGTTTCAGATGCCGGGAAACTACAGCCACCAGCCCTTACAAATACATCTCATCGGCTTATCTGTGAGTCAGCCGGGTTGCTGGCCGAGGGCAGCGTAAACTTCGTCGAAAACCTTACACTCCATCTAAGGAAGGATCTGCCCTGGCTGAGAAAGTGGCCAAGGGGCTAAGAAAGTGGCCAAGTAGATGGATTGACGGTTTTCCCTTCTCGGAAATAGTGTCGGTTTTAGTCCGACGGGATCAAAACTTCCTTTGTTGATGCGTAATGTGGTCAGTCTCTGTGGGGCTGCTGTATTGAAAAGTCCGCCGCAGTCCGAACTTCGGGGATTGCTGGCCTTCGGCTTCTGTGAGTTGTGATGGTTTTCCTTTGTGAAGTGCGGGGGTGTTGAGCTCGAATGTTGCAGTCGTTTTGTTTTCCAGTCGCACACACACACCTAGGTGCACATGACCACGCGAAATCAGGGTCATATGGTCGGAGAGGTCCTGCTTGACTGTTGCATCTGTGCGATTGTATGGTTCTCATATTGTCACTTTTGTCGCATTCGTGTTGGGAAACGTGTATTCATTTTCCGTTCTGTCTTTCTTCTGTTGTACAGGGGTGGGGTCGTCTCGAACACGGAGGTCCTCGAAATATCCAGAACACATATTGCGGAAAGTCCCCGGGTTGACTACAAAACACAAGGATATGTTAAAGGCATCAGGGGATGATGTCGAGATCGGGAAGAAGGAGTACACCGTTGTCATTGAGGAATGTCTATCCCTTCTTGCCCAGAGAAAGGGACATATCCACGATCTGTGAGTAGGAGTCAGGCCATGTATGAGAAGTACTTAGCAACGCGTCATGCACCGGGGGACAATGCCTAGAACTCCGTTTCTCACTACCCCACGTGTCATTTGCTCGATGTTGTGCAGTGCGGGCCACAAGTGCAACACACGGGAAAAGGTTCGCTGTAGCGATTGCGCCTCTGAGCTTGCGGGTTTTGGACGACATTATACGAGGCTCGGTGCCACCTCACACCGTTCTCTCTATACTGGCCGATGGTCAATTCCGGATTGCAGCAAAAGATCTCCTCACCCTCTTGCATATCGATGGCAGGGTGAATGATGAGGTGGCCAATTTCTATATGGCGTTGTTGGGGTCGACTGCATGTGGGTCAGGTGACATCTCGTCAGACCTTCAAGTCTTCAGCTTTAATTCGTTATTTTTCTGTAAACTGCAACTTCAAGCACACGGTGGGGTGCAGAGGTGGACTAAAAACGTAGATTTGCTTCATTACGATATTATCTTCGTTCCTGTCCACAACGATGATGATCACTGGATTCTCATTTCCGTCAACATGAGAGATGACGTTCTCAAAATTTTTGATTATTTTCCTCGCGTTGTAGTTGATGCAAGTTTTTACATTAGTGTTTTCGGGTTGATTATGTAGTATTTGGAACGTCAAACATCACATAGGCGGTCGGGTAGGAATTGGAAGTCGATATAGAAAAATGTTGTGGTGGATGGAGTTCCGAGACAAGTGGATGGAGCTAGCTGCGGGGTGTTCATGTTGATGTATGCGACGTTGTTGCAACGTGGAGATCGACTGCCTTTTCGGTTCTCTTGTAAAGATATTCCGCTTCTTAGATGACAATTAGCATCATGTATCTTAGAACATCATTGTCTTTGATGAATTTTATTAACTTCGATACTTTTTTCTAAGGTGTTCCATTGGTTGTTCATTACATTTTGTAAATCGATACATTATTCAACTGTCCTCCTGACAACGACATTGCTTTTTTTTATCGTTTGGACAACGACATTGCTTTCTTTTATCGTTCCGAGTTTGAGTTGTCTTCGTCAAACTCATTGAATGTCCGACATCATATATAGACTTCGTAATCTCTGTCCCGTCGCAGTCATTTCTCATGCAGTGGAACATGTTATACATTACGTTCCATGTTTCAAATTCTGTTCAACTAGAAGTGTACACATGATTGTGAAATTGGTCGGTGCATGCATGACAAATGACATCTTATGTTTTGGATGCATTATAAATTGGTCAGTAGATGCATTAATAAATGTAAGGACCAGTTGCTTTATGTCTCTTGCGTGGGCATAGAATCACATGCCTTGTGACCACGTGCATTACATGTAACCAACAACCTTGAGTCCGTGCCCAAACCTTCTTCGCATGACCATTTAAAGTGCAGATTTTCATCGTGAATAAGCAAAATTTAAAGTTCTACACTTATCACAACTGTGAACAAGTATGGATCTCAGTGCCCTCATGTCGGGCGAGATGATGAGCGTGCCTGTATGCGGAAGTCCGGATCTCTTCAACATCCAAACAACCGTCTCATGTGAGATGATGGCTGTACTTGCATAACTTACGGATAACCTAGTAAACGAAAAATTAATGTGTTAACCAACGACGGTTCGATCATGACACCTTGCTCATCACATATGTAAGCTTTGAGTTTAACAAGTATGGATCTCAGCACACTTACGCCCACTGTCAGGGTCACAAGTCTTCTAAAAAAGTCCGGATCTCATCATACATCTAAACAATTGTCTTGAGCGAGACGAGGAACCTGCATGTGTAACTTTGGGATAACCGAAAGAATTATACTCTTCAATTCTATCTGATTACATTGCTAATTTTATTTACAAAGTTCAACAAGTATGAATGTCAGCAAACTTTCGCATTTAGGGCGAGTGGATGGGCATGCCTACGTGGAAACACTGCAGTCAAAAATGAATTCGTAAGATAGAGGACAGTGTCACAATATAACGTCTTTCATTACATTTATGAGATTGAAGTTTGACAAGTAAGGATTCCAGCACACTTCCGCACAGGGTTTCCTGTTTGGCGTGCCAATCGTTATTCGTTTATGAAGTTTGACTACTATGGATCCCAACACACTTCCCCACAGAATCACCAACACGTTTTTGAAGTTCAACAAGTAAGGATCCCAACACACTTCCGCACAGGGTTCCCGGGTGGCGTGGCTAACATGTGTGGGTCTCAACACGCTTCCGCATTTGGGATTTCATTTATAAAGTTTCACAAGTACGGATCTCAGCACGCTTCTGCATGTGGTTAAGCCCTGGATGGGCATGCCTACGTTGCTTAGGCTGCAACCAGAAATGAATTCGTTAGAAAGAGGACACAGTATAATGTCCTATTTTAACGAATAACATGTTTCAATCAATCAATCAATCAATCAACCAACCAATCAATCAATCAAGCAATCCCCCCCCCCAAAAAAAAAAATCAAACCAATCAATCAACCAATCAATCGATCAATCAATCAATCAATCAATCAAC